CCCCCTCGTTGGGACGACTGTCTTTGGGCGCCACCAGCTCACAGGACACCTGCGCCATGACCCTGTGGGGGGGGGTTAGGGTTAGGGTTAGGGTTAGAGTTAGGGTTAGGGTTAGGGGGGGCAGAGTCTGAGAAACGGGGGCCGCACCCCAGAGAAACAGGTCCACCTTCACGTCCTGGTTTCTAACCTTAAGAGCTAATTCTTAATGTCCGAACTGTCTAAAATGTTGCTAGTTATCATATGAACACACTTTTAAATATTTTCTCAGAATTTAGACATTTTTTTGGCATCGTGCAACAACCAGAGACGTTTAATTACCGGCCTAAAACAGAGAAATTAGAGTTTTAACCGGCAGAGAATGAAAACACCCGGCCACAGACTCACCTGGTCTGTCCCAGATCCACAAAGCAGCATCCGTAGTCCGTCCCAAAGCGGATCTTCAGCCTCCTGTAGTCGTACGTCTGCCGGCCGTCGATCCGCTGCAGTGGACAGAAGCACCGGTCAGACAGGGCCTCACAGAGCTCACACAGACGCTCCCAGAAAGCTGGAAAACTTCTAATCAACCGACCACTGAACAAAACAACACCTTCTGAGAACTGTTGGTGGTTCTTACTTAAAATATCCTGAATATGAGCACATAAAAATGATTTTCTCTGGTGTGAGAGTTCAGTAGCTCTGCAGGTGAACCATGACTCCCCAACTGGACAAAGGGATGGAGGCATCCGGAGCACATCTTATGCCAGACTGGAAAATCAGCTTTCAACCAGAGGCGATGGATGTCCAGGATTTGGACGTTTTAATTGTTTCATCTAAAACGGTTTATGACTATATTATATTTTCTTTTTTTTGGCAGAAGTGTGGGAAAACAATGGTCTGTCTTTACATTCGTGTTGCAACGACTACGTGAGTCGTGATCTTGAAATGCTCCGGACACGCAAGAAGAAATATTAAAAAAAATACTCAGCTGTACTTTGTTCAGGAAAAAGCATCTTTACTTTAACAGTAGAGAGGCCTTGAACGCACCTTTTTCTCTTCGATGGCTTTCAGCAAGAAGTCCCTCTCGCAGTTGGACAACGGGGTGTCCCTCATTCCGCCGGTTTGTGTTGTTTGTAGTTTTATTTAAAGGATTTTATTCACTCCTAAACAACCATGTGGGCACCATTAATGTTTACCAGTGCGGGTCGCGCATGCGCAAAGGTTCACAATTTACGGCAGTGGATGAATGTCGTGAACCTTATCATCGTATTATCCAAAATATTGAAAAAGACTAGCTAGTTAATTTCCTGTTTCAGTGTGTTTATTTAAAATATAAAAATGTTGGCGTTATGTACATGTTTTGACTCTTGTCCCATTGCAGTCCTATTTATTTATATCACTTTAACTATTCAATTTTTAAAAAAATAATCAGTAAAATGTTAGTGTTGGGGCAGCAAAAAAAAAAAATTAAAACCGATTTTTTTCCTTAACTAGTTTGATTACATCTTTAGTCTTCCAACCGCCAAGATGATGTTGACGTTAGCTTTCAACTGAAAGCGAACGCGCGACTCATGCTGCATTCACTTTCAACTTGGAATTTTCACGACTAACTCCAGTTACTTGCGCGGAGCTGTTCATCCAGCATCTTCTCCAATATGATTACATTTATTTCTCCTTAAGACTCAAATAGTTCTGTCATTAGCTAAAGAATATGCATCTGGATGCACCTTGTACTACAGGACTAATGCTTTGTTTTGAATTCTCTGGATCCTGAAGGCATCATACACGGTCTCCATCTGCGCGAGACGCGCATGCGCATGAGTAGATGCTGTCTTGCAGCATAATTGAATCTGTCGCCGTTATTCGGGCCGAGCTGTCACTCACGGTCCATCCTCCTCAGCTGAAGCCCGTCCTCTCCCTACCCTTCACCGGCGAGACTAAAAGCGGACTAACCGCACACAACTCCACCGCCGTTTGTGTTTGAGAAGCAGTGTCAAAGGAAGGCCTTTTTCCTCCACAGTTTCCAAAAGGCGCAAGGTTTGTGCGTGCGCTATGAGAGTCTACATCCCCGCTAAGTTAGCAAGCTAGCACTTTCTATCCATTCATTTCTGCTGGTCATTAAACATTTTGACCTACATTCCTTTTAACACGAATCTTACCGCTTCTGCATTCAGGTTATCTGCATGTTTAACCCATGTATTAGCCCCGTTTTTCCCTTTTAATCGGTTGTTTTGCTAACCTTTTATGTTTGTGGCTGGCGCGCGCCTGGCTACGGCAGCTAGCTTTAGCCGGAGGAGCAGGTGCTGCGGACCGTTCATCTGAGTTTGGGCATTGCAGTGCTCGGTGGCAGCCATGTTAACTTCTCACTTGCTCCCCATGACCTTTATTTTACTTCGTTTTATAGGGCCTATCGGGTTGTAATCGTAATGGGCTGTAGTTATAGCGTTTGTGGGCGAAAATGGGTCTTTTTCCTTGCTTGTAAACCGGCAGTCAGACGATGGGGGAGGGACGTCGTATCCATAATGGAAAAAAACTGGAATTGCTTTGGTGTGATAACATTTTAGACGTTGTTGCTATGCTTGTAAGCATGATATAGCAAACACGATGAGTCATTTTACTAGCTTTGTCCTAATAAAAACGTGCAGGCACTCATTGCTACTTTGGATTCACAGTTAGAAGATGTGAGTCAGATAAGGCAGGAGTTCTGGGGGGGGCACTGCCCTGCATGTTTGAGATGTTTCCCCTGTTTCAACACACCTGATTCAGGTGTAAATGCATCTATTCAAACGATTGCTAGGTTTTGCACAAGTCTGCCTGTGGCACAGTGATATGAATCAGGATCTGTGGAGCCCCCTGAGAGAAGATGAATGAAGCAGGTTTTTAAAGAAAAAGTCCACTGGTGCCTCAGTGTCGCTTGAGGTGTTTTTTTAACCTGTTTTAAATAGATTTAATCCACATTTTGAAGCCAGGCACAGTAAAGTCATATAATATCTTTACAGAGAGTAAAGAAACGCGTTTAGGAGGTCTCAGTAATTGTCTCCTTTTTAAGGTTTTTATAAGGTTAACCACCTACCGAACCAAAATAGAAGTGTATCCTATCCTGCCTTCCTCTGGTGACTATGTGATGCCTGGGTTTGTTCACTTCTTTAACCAGTATATGCAATCTCATGTCTCACTAATGTTTGTCTTATGATTTTTCAATTTTTTCGGTATTAAATGGACTAATTAATCAAGCCATTTTCTTGTTTTGTGGTCAGAAAGCCACGTCATGACATCATCTAGATGTTCTCTGTAGTTTCCCCCTAATTTGTGTTGATACCTGTGGTGTTGGCAGCTCTTTATCTTTGAGAGCTGTTTATTAAAGTTATTATTTGTTTAAAAACCCTTTTGTAAAAGATACTTTTGAGGGAGCTTTCCCCAAAAATGACCGTTCCCATTGTTGATAAAGTTAACCTCTTTTGTCACTTTTCTTAGACATGTAATAAAGCAATTTTACGACACATTACTAATTTATATAAGTGTGATCATTTGTGATAAAGGGGGGGCATGTCTCAAATTCTCTGAAAACAGCCATCTAAAATAAAACGAGGGAACGCAATTACTCATTTGTTCTCATTTCTCCCTTTTATTTATTAAAGGAGCTAATTGAAATAATGAAAAAAGGAGAAAAATAAGCAACAATTAGATGATAGTTTTTTGTGCTGTCTGGTTAGCAAATTGAGTGTCTAAAGTAAAGCTAAAGCTGGCAGTGAAGCAATGATTCAGAAAGACAGGAAACAGATTTAAGAAGCTGCAAAAAGTGCGTTTCTCGACCTTTAACCTCAGGTTGATGATAAAAGTGTTTGATTAGGATCTGCCCCTGTAATCCCCACCTCCCCTCTGCCCCCCCGCCCCAGATGAAGATGGCTGGAGGCTGGACGTGGCGCCTGCTGCTCCTGTCCTCTCTGGCCGTGGCCGCAGTGGCGGCCCTCGAGAAGCAGACGGAGTTCGGCGGCGCCGCAGAAGTGGACGAGGACCTGGGCCTGGACGAGGAGGAGCTGAGGGCCCTGATGGCGGAAGAGGAGCAGGAGGAAGAGGAGGAGGAGGAGGAGGCCACGGTGATGGACGACGAGCAGGTCGAGGAGCCGGCCGGAAGCGGAGCGGAGTCCGACGTCTCCTTTCAGGTCAGAAACGGGTCCTCAAACGAAGTCTGATAGATAGATAGATAGATAGATAGATAGATAGATAGATAGATAGATACTTTATTGATCCCCAAGGGGAAAATTCAAGGTCCCAGCACCTTAAGACATTAAACACAACATACGCTACAGTTCACACAGTATCTTACAGTATCTTACAAAATGACTAGAATACTAAATTAACTACCATTAACTACCAGATCAACATTACTAGGGGATAAAAAGTACTAAAAAGCACCAGAATACTAAACACTAAATACTAATTTAAAACAGTTACCAGATCAACATTACTAGGGGATAACAAGTAATAAAAAGCACTAGAATACTAGATACTAAATACTAATTTAAAACAGTTGCCAGATCAACATTACTAAGAGATCAGCCTTTGGTCAAGTATGAAGTTAGACCACCTTCAAATCAAGGGAATGGAGATGGGGTAGTGCATGTTGGCCCTTGGTGCAAATTACTTCCTGAGTTGTGTTGTCATTTCTGAGGATGCAGTGTTTTATTTTTATTAGTGTTTTTTTGTCTCCAGGTGACCTACAAAACTCCCGTTCCCACTGGAGACGTTTACTTCGCCGAAACGTTTGACGACGGCTCGCTGGACAGGTAGAACCGCCGCCCGTAGCACGCAGGCCGAAGGCCCTCAGGTGTGTGAGGCCGAGGTTTGTGACGCCCTCCTCCGCAGATGGCAGCTGTCGAAGACCAAGAAGGAGGACGCCGACGAGGACATCGCCAAATACGACGGTTAGTGCCCCCCCCCACCCTCCTCCTCCGATTCCTCACAGGTAGGGCCGGGCTATTTCTCGATTTTGATTTTATCCGCGAAGTAACATTTCTCTAGAATTATAAAGGAGACGTTTGATCAAAGTTTTCACAGACCCCCGAATAGCCAATAAGATCTAAACAGCGCCACACGTAGAAGCTCGCAGTGGCACAAAGCCGCGGTGAAGTTTGCAGCAAATAATTTCTCCAGCTAAACCGTAAAACCTTATAAGCTCTGAACAGTAATCGGGAGAAAATGCTGCCCAGGAGAAGCTTTTAAAGCTGTTTTTGGGGGGATTTTGAAGATGTTTTGTGGCTTTTAAAGGTGTTTTGAGGGCTTATAAAGCCGTTTTGAGGGGTTTTAAAGCTGTTTTGGGGGGGTTAAAGCTGTTTTTGGGGGCAATGCTGCCCAGGAGAAGGACGACATCTTGAAAAAAGGGCCTGAGAGGTTTGGCTGCTCGGAGGAACTTTGGGTATTTGAAGTTGGACGAACAGCAGAGTAAGACACTGTGCGAACTATGTGCTCTGACACGAGGACTCCCCCCTCTGCCGGCAGGGAGGTGGGCGGTGGAGACACTGAAGGAGAACAGAGTCCCCGGAGACCAGGGCCTGGTGCTGAAGTCCCGGGCCAAACACCACGCCATCGCCGCCATGCTGGACAAACCCTTCGTGTTCCAGGACGAGCCGCTGGTCCTCCAGTGCGTTCACACCGACTCAAGCTTATCTTTTCCTGTTACAGGAAAAGAGAGCACCAGCTCTTAAGATGTTCGTTTGACTTCCTGTTGCAGGTATGAGGTGAATTTTCAGGATGGAATCGACTGCGGGGGGGCTTACCTCAAACTGCTGTCCGACTCCGAGGGTCTGAACCTGGTAGGTTTTTTAAAGTTTATGGTTTTCAGAGGTACAGGATGGTGAACCCCAGCTTTTCTGTGAGGAGCCTCCAGGAAAAGCTCTCCAGCTTCTTGGAGGACGTCCCAAAGCTCTTCTATGGAAGCTGCTGCTGCCTTTGGCTCCGTTCTCTGTCAGATGATCCCACACTGCTTCATAATGTGGAGCTCTGGCTCTGGAGGATCCATCAGAGCTGCTGGGTTCAGTCCATTTCTGGTTCCTCTGGCCTTTCCACCCGTTTCTGCTCCACATGTTGGTTCCTGGTTTCATTCAGTTTCTGACCCACTGTGGGAACTCTGGAAGGTTTAGCTGCTGTTAAACACCAGACAGGTGGCATTTAGCTTTGTTTTAGCTTTATTTTGGTCATTATTTATCTAGTTTGGTCATTTTAGATCTTTTTTTTTCTGTATTTTGGTAATTTTAGCTCTTTCATTGGTCTGTTTTGGCGCTATTATTGGTCTATTTTGGTCATTTTGGCTCTATTTTAGCTCTATTTCGGTCAATTTAGCTCTATTTCTTTCTATATTTTGGTCATTTTAGCTCTATTATTTATCTATTTTGGTAATTTTGGCTTTATTGTGGTCATTTTAGCTCTTTTTTTGCTTTTATTTTTGATCATTTTGTCATTGTTTTTGCTTTTTTGGTGTATTAAAAAACATCCATCCCTCCATCAAAGCTGGTGGTCAGTCCACTTCTGATTCCTCTAGGAGAGCAATGCCTTTCCGCCCTGTTTCCTTTCTTCATTACTTCTTGACAGCCCCCCTTCATGGAGAGCATTTCTGATGAGGCCACCTAAATTAAGCCTCCGTCCATCCAGAAACTCTGGCTGACGTCGGGGCTAAAAACTGAGACGTTTCCCGGCCTGAAAGCCTTGTTTCTCTGGCTGCAGGAGCAGTTCCACGACCACACGCCGTACACCATCATGTTCGGGCCCGACAAATGCGGCGAGGACTACAAGCTGCACTTCATCTTCCGCCACCGGAACCCCCTGAACAAAGACGTGGAGGAGAAGCACGCCAAGCGGGCCGACGTCGACCTCAAGAAGTTCTACAGCGACAAAAAGACCCACCTGTATACGCTGGGTGGGTCCCCACCGCCGGGCGCCTCTGGGGGGCGCTGTTGGGCCTCTATTGGGGCGCTGTGGAGCCTATGGGGGGCGCTGTGGAGCCTCTATTGGGGCACTGTGGAGCCCTTATTGGGGGTGCTGTGGAGCCCCTATGGGGGTGCTGTGGAGCCCTTATTGGGGGGGCTGTGGAACCCTTATTGGGGGTGCTGTGGAGCCCCTATTGGGGGCGCTGTGGCTCACTCCGTTTGTGCCCTCAGTCCTGAACCCAGACAACAGCTACGAGATGCTGATCGACCAGGCCAGCGTGAGCCGCGGCAGCCTGCTGAGCGACGTGGTGCCTCCCGTCAACCCCCCCAAGGAGATCGACGACCCCCACGACTCCAAACCGGACGACTGGGACGAGCGGGCCAAGATCCCCGACCCCGAGGCGGCCAAGCCCGAGGACTGGTAAACCACCAAACCGGCCTTTAGCTGTTTGATTGTGGCTCAAACGAGGCATTTTTCTGCCTTTTTAACCACTCTGATGGGCTGAGTCAGCTCGTTTGCGCCCCCTGGTGGGTAATCGGTGTTCTGGGGTGTTTTACAGGGATGAGGAAGCACCTGCAAAGATTGAAGACCCCGACGCTCTGAAACCAGAAGGCTGGCTGGACGATGAGCCGGAGTTTGTCCCCGACCCCAACGCGGAGAAACCGGAGGACTGGTAAAGAGCCCCCGGCTGCGTTCGGTAAACGGTGGAGCTCAGACGCTCATCGCTGTGTGTCCATCGGTGTCCGCCAGGGACGAGGAGATGGACGGGGAGTGGGAGGCCCCGCAGGTTCCCAACCCGGCCTGCGAGACGGCCCCCGGCTGCGGAGTGTGGAAGCGGCCCACGATCAACAACCCTCTGTACAAAGGCAAATGGAAAGCCCCGCTGGTGGACAACCCCAACTACCAGGTAACAGCTCAGGCTCACCGGGAGGTGGGACAGGAGGTGGGTCAGGAGGTGGGACAGGTGGACCTAGAGATGGTTTAGGAGGTGGACTGGGTAGTGGTCCAGGGGGTCCCAGTTCCACCAAGCAGCAGCTCAACCCCTAAATCCGGGTTCAGGGGCCCCTTCCCCATTAACCCCCCCCTTATTTGGTCCGATTAGCTTAGCTGCTGCACACCACGGCAGCATTAGCATTAGCATTAGCCATATCCAGGTAAACAATACACAACAGGTGTGGCACAATCACTGCTTATGATGCGTTCACGAGCGCCGGACATAGGGAAACTCACCGAGAACACAATATCACTGAACAGTATCTGATTGAAAATACCTGAAAAACATCATAACAAATGAACTTTTCTCTCTCTGCTGACTGTTTCTGTAACATGAGCTTTAAAATGTGCTCAGTTGCTTTTTACTTTTTTACTTATGATGAGAGCAGGAAGTGGTCCAGAGGGTCTCGGCTCCATCAAACAGCAGCTCATTGACCCCTAAAGCCGGGTTCAGGGGCCCCATTAAACCCCCCCCACCTTTAAGAAGCTCTCTCATAACAAACTAACCATTAACTTTTCTCTCTTTTTGCAAACTGTTTCTGTACCATGAGCTTTAAAAGATGCTCAATTGTTAATCCCCCTTTTTACCTTTTTACTTATGATCAGAGCAGGCCTGTAAAAATGCAGAAATGTGAGCCCTTCTCCTTCAATCGAGTTGTTTTCTGACCCCACAGGGAGTCTGGAAGCCGCGTAAGATCCAGAACCCGGACTACTTCGAGGACCTGCAGCCGTTCCGGATGGCGGCGGTCCGGGCTCTGGGCCTGGAGCTGTGGTCCATGACCTCGGACATCTACTTCGACAACTTCATCCTCACCTCCCACAAGGAGGTGGCCGACCGCTGGGCCTCCGACAGCTGGGGGCTGAAGAAGCTGGTGGCCAGCGCCAACGAGGTGGGCGCCCCCCCCCCCCTGGCTAGGGTTGTTAAAAGTATCGATACTCAAACGTTGAATCCGGATACGATACTACTTTTCAAAAGGCCCTTCGCCCCTTCTCTCTGATTGACGTTAGCCTTGAACTGCTAGCTGCGGCTAATGGCTAATAACAACACGCCGACATTAATCAAGTACGTCTGGCTGCAGGAAGCCAAGAATGGATATCCAACTCCCCCACATCCAAGTCGGCCATTTTGATTAGGTCACCAATAGGAAGGTCCCAGGCAAGAAAATCCTAATTGCTTCATGGCAATATAGACATTCATTTGAAAATAGTGAAATTAATCTTGCAAACACTCAATTCAACTCTATACTTAATATTATGTTAAAATAGTGGATGTTAAATAGGTTTGTACAATAAGTCCAAACAAGTTTAACCAAAAAATATTTATTTCTTACAATTGAGAGTGGAGGGTTAGGGGTCAGGGTTAGGGTTAGGGTCCATAATGTGGGTTAGGGTTAGGGTCAGGGTCATTAATCCGGGCTAGCGGCCACCATAACATCCGTAACAGGTTTGAAACAAAAGACACTAACCTGTCAAAATGAATACATTTTGGGGTCTTTGGTTTTATCCTTTTGGTATCAAAACTGGACCGAGTATCGAATATTTTCCTGAGTATCGGTATCGAGTTGAAAATGTCAGTATCGTGACAGCCCTACTCCTGGCGGACTTGTCCGGCCCTGTCCTCCACAGCCGGGGATCGTGGCGCAGCTGCTGATGGCGGCGGAGGAGCGGCCCTGGCTGTGGGTGATATACGTCCTGACGGCGGGGCTGCCCGTGGGGCTGGCCGTGATCTTCTGCTGGCCCAAGGTAACCGAGGAAGCTCCCGTTCCCCCCGGAGACGCCGGGGAAACGGCCCCGGTCGGCCCCCGGCTAACGGCAGCTCCCTGTGATCTGGGTTTCAGAAAGCAGACGAGGAGTACGCGTACAAAAAGGCCGACCTCTCCCGGGCCGACATAGAGGAGGAGGAGGAGGAGGAGGCGGCAGAAGAGGAAGAAGAAGAAGAAGACAGAGCGGCCGAGGAGGCAGAGCCGGCAGCTCCAGGTGAGATTAAGCTGGTCCCGATCCGATATCTGGATCAGATCGGACACCGATATTTTTAAAAACTGTGTATCGGCTGGCAGGAGAAAAAGGCAGATCCAGACTCCAGATCCAGTTTTTATTAAAGTCCAATCCCACATTAGCATTAGCATCTGCTAACCCACAAGTTTGTGTCCTAACCATTAAGTTGTTATCAGAGTAAATCTCTGTTCAACATGAGTCTGACAACTAAGTAAGTAGATAAATAATTTTAATACACGCTCTGATTGGTCGGGATCGGTATCAGATCGGAAGTGAAAAAAACTGGATCCCAAGGTGTGACTCCGCCCACCGCCGGCCGGTTTTCCAGCTTCCTGTTCGGATAAACAGGACGGCTCTCAGCTCTGGGGAAGATCCAGACTGGTTGTAAACGAAAAAACTCCTAGAAGCAAAAACCAGAGCGGCCAGTTTGTTCCACCCCGCTGGATTCAAACAGCCACTTGCAGCTCGGTGGTCACGAGGCTGCAGCACGGTTTGGGAGTCTGCTGTAAACTTCCCAGATTTCCATAAACACACACAGTCCAAACGGTTCCTTTGACCCTCTCGCACTTTCTCCGTTAAACCGTAAACTCTCAAACGGGAAGTAGCTATTTTTTTCTTCCTTTTCGACGCTGGGACATTAAGCGAGTTCCCAAAATTAAATTTGAACAAACACAAGACGGTAAACTAAAATAATGTCGATGTGACCGATGAAGAACACGAACAAACTGGGGAAATCTGTCGTCTGATGAGGATCGAGGATGATCGAGCTCAGAAAATGTAATCTGGAATCAAAGAAACACCACAAATATGAGCTCTGCCTTTTTCTTCTTCTCCTAAAGAAACCGAGGCGGGTGAGATGGAGGACGGAGGTCCGGGAGGGGACAACCTAGAGCTGGACGAGGACGAAGAAGAAGAAGAAGAAGAGGAGGATGAGGAGGAGGAAGAGGAAGAAGAGGGAGGAGAGGAGGAAAGCAAAGAGCCAGAGAGAACATTTGGAGATAAGGTTGGTAAAGGAGGAAACACAAGAGCCAAACTACTCAGGAGCTATTAAACTGAATAAAAGCAGAACCTGCTGCTCCTCTCTGGGGCTAAAAGCCAACAAAGTGCAGCCGAACGAGTCGAGATAAACTCACCATGATTCATCCTACTGGATCCTGAAGAGAAAATGGGACAAATGCATCATTTTAATGGGCACAGTGGCCAAAGGGTTTAGTTACTTTTGAGTAAAATGACTCAATAGTAAAAAGTATTCAAGCAAAAAAATGATTTCAAGAGTAAAAGAAAAAAGAAAAGTGAGTCACTTTGGATTTATTGATCCAACAATCAGGGTTGAATGTCCAAAAATTAGAAAAATATAAGAAAAAAAAGCCATTTAGAGCTAAAAGATTAAAGGAAATCTGACCGTCTCCTTCTGTTTTGGCCACTTATGAAGCAGAGGTGTAAAACATCCCCACTCCGTCACGCTTTTTTCCTCATTTTTTTGTCTTTGTTTCTTTATTCTTTATTTATATTCTTTATTTTCTTATTGTTTCGCCACAGAAGGACGCCGGAGACGACGCCGAGGAGAGGAGCAAACAGGCCGTGAGGAAGAGGAGGGTACGGAAAGACTGAGGAGGCCGAGCCTCGTCTGCTGCCTTCTTTCTTTCTGACGCCGAGGAGGCGGAGCCTCAGGCCCCGCCCCCAGAGAGCGGGCCCCGCCCCCCCCCCACCGCCACCCACCCAGGTTTGCAGTCCCACATCTCCTCCTCTTCCTCCTGTCCTCTTCCTCCCGTCTGCTCGCTCTCAGGAGCTCCTCTGCTCTCGTTTCCGCCCTAAAGCCGACGTCTCAGACGTTCGGGGCTTAAAGGCAAAGTTCCCGTGTACTCACGCCATTTTTGGGGGTTTTGGGGGGTGGGGGGGGGGACGCCGGCGCTGTGGGGGAGGCCTCAGCTCAGAGAGAGAGAGATAAAAGGGGTTTTTCTGTTTTAGATCTCAGCCGGTTTGTTACGAGCATCACTGTTTTTTTTTTTTACCGCCGACCTTATTTATTCGTCCGTTCCCGCGTTGTTCCGGCCGGTGTGGAGAAACGCGACCGTTCGACAGACTGAAACACGCCGCCGCCGTTTGTTAGACGCTTGTAAAGCGACTCGGACGCAGCTTTTAGCCGGACAGCGAACGCCTCTCGGCCTTTTCCCAGGACGCCGCCGCTCAGCCTGTTGCCTGGGAAACGGACTCATTTCAACGACTTTGATTTGTGGTCTTTTTTTTTTATGATTGTCGTCTCCAGCTTTTTGTAGTTCGCCCTCCCGCCAGATGTGGGCAGATGTTCCTGTTTACATTTGTTTGCAGACTGTATGTGGCTCTTGGAAATAAAATTATTTAATACAAAGACGATTGGTTGAAGGAGTCTCGCCGAAAACGGGACAAAGAACCCGCCGTTTGTTATTTCTGAGACCGGAAACGAGGCCTCTTTGTTCCAGGACCCAATCTGAGGTGGAGGCTCTTTTTGGGTCTGGTTGTTATAATGTGAGCAGGAGATAAAAGACTCAGACAGAGGTGATCTTGGTTTTTATTAAAATAAAAAAAATACCTTGAGGTGGGGTGGGGAGGGGCATCGAGCATGGTAGATAAATAATACAAGATAAAACGGTACAGCTCTCAAACATCAAACAACCTCAATAAATTACAAAGTAATGTTTCCATAGCTTTCGTTAAAGCAGCATTTAGTTGTTTTCCGATTAAATGTGAAGCTTGCCGTCTCTAACTTTGGGTGGAACAAACCAGGCTTTGCCTTTTCCACTTTTCTCCTCAGTTAAAGAAGCTCTCGTCATTTCTAACAACTCTGGTTACAGATTTAGTTTATTTCAGTTAATGCGCTTCAACGAGGATCCACCGCCTGGCTAAATAGTTCTTAGTAGCTTTATACAGTTTGATCACAGATTACTGATTAGTTACGTCTCAAAAGGTCTAAGTCTATTTTTACATGCCATCTCACAAACATTTCCAGTTGCTGTAACACTGTTGCTTCGGACAGCTTTAAAGAAAAAAATCCAGTTTCATGAGCTCTAAAAACAACACAAGACTCTGATCGGTACTTTATAAAAAATAAACCGGTGCTTGTCGAGAAGGTGCATTTAAACGTAACCTCGAAATGTTTTGAAGTCCACAGGAAGTCGAATGAGTCCTTAAAGGGGAAACCCTCCAGATGGGAGTTACTTTACAAACATTTTTCTGACGGAGAATCGAGAAAGTCCAATTGGAAGTCGCCCGCAGACCGCTGTGCGTTAGTGAGTAAGGGTCGGCGTCCTCGGCCTGGAGAGGACCGGCCACACGGGGACTTCAGAGCTGACTGAGGGTCAGTTTTAGTTAGTTGGCGTCTTAATATTTACACGGTTAGTTGGGACTAAAAAAAACAAACCCCATCTGGTCGTCCCGGCGGCGGGGCCCGGCTCACTTCCGCTTGCCCTTGGTGTCGGTGGTCTGGAAGACGCTGGAGGCAGACATGAGGTTTTCGATGTACTGACCCAGGACCTGATTCTCCGATTTCAGCTTCAGGTTCTCCTCTTTGACGGCGTCGACTCGCGCCGACAGATCTGAGAGAGGAGAGAGCAGAGCTTTAAAACCAGCTTCTGTTTGGCTCCAGACAGAAAAACTCACCCCACTCATTATTGGATTTCAGAGATAAATTATTGATGCTTGAACAGGAAGAAAACTGAATTTATTCTAATTAGACAGTGACATTCAGAGAAAATGGCAGCGGCCTTCAGGCCCTCAGGCATCTCTCTGGATTTAAAACGGACCCGATTCTGTCCTGGAAATCGCCAACGAACTCAAGTAAAGGCTCGGTCGGAAAAGAAGAAGCCACATGTGGACATGATCCAGATGTTCACAGTGAGGAAAGCAGCCATTGGCTGCCATAAAAGTAGGTTTATGACATCATTTATCAGGTGTTTGTTATTGAAATGAAGCTCCAGATGAGAGGAAAAACTATGACTAAAGACCAAAAAAAATTAGGAAAACACATCCTGAACCTGTTCATAAATATTTTTTAAAAACATGTTCCTCAGCAGCTGGTTCCATCAGATCCAGATGTTTACAGCCTGATGTTAAAGAAGAGGCTACAGTGGAAAACATCCACCTTGTTTGAGACGTGTCCACATTTTGTTGTAATTAGCTTAATATTTTCCAACTGAATAAAAAATGTATTTATGGAATTTATAATTGTTATTTTACTTTATATTCAAACAGTGTCTCAAACTCTTTTTTACTTTTTAAGTAACACACAAAGTGATATATACAGGTTTTTTTAATTAAAGATAAACAGGTACTAACAAACTACAGCTGAAGCTACAGTCATTGCTTTTTACCGGCTGTTTAAATTAATCAATTGTTGCTTTTTCTCTGTCAAAACTTTAAAAGCTTTGTGTAACAAAAAGCCAAAATGAAAGAACGCCTTCTGTTAAAAGGAGAATCAAATGGACGCCACTTTTAGGCTCTACTGGACTCAAATCCAGGGTCATGTCCTCTGGTTTACCTCATTCTAACAGAGATCTCGATCTAAGGCCTGAGTTTGGCGCCACGAAGCCCGATAAGCAGCTTACAAAGGCACCTTAAGATCCAGTTCTGGATTTTCAGCACCACAAAGCCGGTTCGCCTCTAAAAAAAGGTGCAAACAAGCAGCCACTCGAGGTGAAAAACTCCAGAGGGGATGTGTGTGTTCAGTGTTTCTTTGCTTCTGTTTGTATGGTGAGTGTGTTCATGTGTGGAAACGTCTAAAACCTGGACAGCGGCCAAATTCTGATCAAAAACACCATTGTTGGATTTGATACAGTATCAGAAGGTGTCCCTCCTTTTTCCTGGTGCTATCCTTTAAAAACCCAGTGCATAAAAAGGTGGTTTATATTCCTAAACGAGGCAGCAAAGCCTCTCATATTTCCAGGATCAGTTCTCAGGGGGCTGGTGTTTATCAGACCGATATCTCATTATTACCTTCCAGTGTGTGCTGGAGCTCCAGGACTTGATTTATCAACCTCGTCTTCTCCTCCATCTCCACCTGGTTCTCCATGTCTCCTGAAATGTTCCCAACAACAGCAGGTTTTTTACAAACGGATAAAAACATCTCTGTTAAAGACGTGCAGAGAGGGATCCGGCAGGCAGACCCACCGTCTATGTCGCAGTTCATGATGAAAAGCTCTTCCTCCTGTTTAGTATACAGGGCTGCAGATCCACCGTCTGCTGGAGGAGAGGACAGAAACAGAGGTTCACTCAGATTTAAACGGACAGGGAGATATTCCTGCTAATATCTGGATCATTTTCTCATATTTGAGGCCTGAGGATGGCTTTATCTGAAGAGGGCGTGAAACAAACTCAGATTAAATCAAGCAGAAGTTGATATTTTCCGGCTTCGATTTGAATCTTTTGCACTTAAGTCTTCAAAAAGTGGATTTCAACGACCAACCGACGGTAAAAGTAACCGTAAACAACCGCACCCAGCCTGAGAGGGGCCGCGGCTAAACGGTGTCTCCGGTCCCATCAACCCGCTCCTAAAGCCACGATTCACAACCTGAAGGTTCCCGTAGATGTAGCCGGGTGTTTCTGAGCCACGGACCTTATATTAGCCACGCAGAATCGCACCGTGGAAGCATCACCTCCCAGCCAACACGGGCCGAGACCCGTCCGATAATGGGAGTGTTTGTGTTAGCTAGCTAAAAGGACTAGCCCGCTAACCAAGGAGAGGCTGGCTTACAAAAATACACCAAACGCCGAACATTTTAGCCACAATAGACACTCAAATAAATCATCGTGGTGGATACATATTTGGAGGAACCATTTTAAGTACAATATTGAACATTTTCTTCGGTCACGCGAAGCATATCTGTGCTAACGGTTACAAGCTACTTCATGCTACTAGCTAGCTTTAGCTTGAAAGAAATCCTTTTTTTTTTTTAATTCCAGATATTTTTTTCCCTCTGGAGGTTTTTAAAAACGACCGAGCGCATCGTTTACCCACCTACAGTCAGACTAATCACCGTCCTGTAAACACACTAATGTGCTGCTGAGGAGGAGGAGGAGGATGACAGACGGACTTCATCAATAGGGAACGTCATCAGTACGCGCAGTTCACCACTCAGGCCGGTAGGGGGCGCTGCCGTACGGAAGCCGAAGCGTGACGGAAGTAGAAATAACACCAGAAATATGAAAAAGTCTGAACATATAAATCAATAGGCCAAAAAAACCGCACCAATAAAATGCTAATTTATGACACCCGTTTATATTTTGTGCTCTATTTTTTACCTACATTTTGCACCTTTGTTTAAATAAGCCCAATGTATTATCATTTAAATGACCTCTTTAACTAGTTCACCTCACAGCAAGATTCCCAGTTTGAATCTGAAACTTTTCTTTGTGTTTATGCTGAGTAAGTGTGGGGTTTCTCCGGGTTTCTCTGGGCTTCCTCCCACAATCCAAAAACATGCCTGTTGGGTGCATGTTAAACCATTTAAATTAGGTTGTTTGAGTTAAAAAGGTGTAAGAACGTAAAGGTAAAACTTAATCAAGAGAAATGAATACAGGATTTAAAACACAATGACAGAAAAAAGTAATTTATAGCTCATTTACATGATAAAGAATGAGGTAAAATAAGTAAATACTTTATGCTACTAACTATCTTTAGCTCTTCATCCACATTTTTTTACACAAAGATGCATCTTTATGGGTGGTAATAGGAGTGGAAATGTAAATGATGTCACATTTTATTATTCAATTGGTGCAAGTTTAGCATATTGATGAATTTATTGAGACATTATTATATTTGGGCTGTTTTTAAAAAGCAAATAAATGTTTAATCCTGTCACGTTCGGGCTTCCTTAATGCCACAACACACACACCAGCAGCAGCAGCCGGAGAGGAGCCGATCAACCCTTTTTGCTGCCACATCGTCCTATTGGATGCATGTACGCAGTGTTTACTGGTTCCTGAGGATGCTGCCAACTCCCAGGTGACCCTGAACCCCCCCCAGTTATGCTGCTGTAGGCCCAGAGTCAGAACCAAACCAGGAGAGGCTTCATTTCAGTTCCATGCTCCTAAACTGGTGGGAATTGTTGGGTTTCTGTAATTAACTTCAGAGTAGGGTCTGACCTGCTCTGTTTGGAAAGCGCTGTGAGACAACTGTTGTTGTGATGTGGCGCTATATAAATAAAATTGAATTTAATTGAATTAAACTGGTTTCAGTCACCTGACTCTGAAGGGAACCTGTAGTGGATCAGCTAGACAGGCAGACTAGTGCTTTATGTCACTCTCTGCCATTAGAATTTTTCAAAATGGCGGAACGCCATGGAAACCTCCGTGGACTCACCTGTCCTGTGTATATGCAGATAAGAAATTCTTCCTTATGAGAAGTCAGATCATTGCAGAGGTAATTTTACACCAAATGAGGACACATTTAGAAATGAAGAGAATGCATTTAGCTAATAAAACACTTAAAACAGTACACAGCGTCCCTGTAGTGAGTCTTTGGTTTGCTTTCTGGAAACAAGCCGCTGTCCTACCTGCGTCGTCAACCAGGGAAATGGTGGTAAACGTCCCGTCGTCCTCCTCCGGCCCCTCCGGACCTCCCGAACCCCCCTCTGGGGCCGGAGCCTCTTCGTCACCCCCCAGCATGGCCCCGGCCGTGTGTCCTCTCCTCTGCCTCTGCCGGCCGTCTCCTTCCGGCCTCCCCAGTCACTCATTTACCGGCTCTACCTGCCGGACGGCTCCGGTTACATAGCTGCCATCTCAGCGCGTTGCCCGGGCAACCGCGGGTACAAACAGCCAGGCCCGGGAAAACCACCCGGGGTCAAAGTTCAGACGGTGAGAGGTCTGCGGTGAAACCGAGCCGCAAACACTCGGAAACCAACCCGACACTAGTGTGTTGCTGCTGGTTGTAAACTGTAAACTTATAGTGAACTCTGACTTCCTGACTTCCTTCATTCCGTTTCCAACTTAAAGACGTCCGAGTCCGGGCGTCTGTTGTGTGGGAGCAGCGCCCTCTGGCGGCCGCAGCCGGACACTACTGGACACTACCTGAATTAAATTAAATTCAATTTTATTTATATAGCGCCACATCACAACAACAGTTGTCTCACAGCGCTTTCCAAACAGAGAAGGTCAGACCCTACTCTGAAGAAACCCAACAATTCCCGCCATGAGCAAGCACTAGGCGACACAGGCAAGGAAAAACTTCCTTTTAACAGGCAGAAACCTCGAGCAGAACCATGGCTCAGGGTGGGCGGCCATCAGGCAGAGTCCCTGTTTGCACTAAAGCTGCCTGGCATGGCTGAGTCAGGGTTTTTATCTATCTGGAAACCGAAAACACAAACAAAACAAAACACACAAACTGAGTTTCTGGACAAACTGACAGAAAAAAGGTCAGCTGACCTTTGTTTTCTGAATAAGTTCCCAAAAGCAGCTCAGAGTCTTCAGGACTGGACACCTGAGCGTCCTGTGTTCATGCTCTGTGTTCATCTGGCCAGTAAAGAGGTTCAGGTTCTGGTTCTGGTTCTGGTTCTGAGAGGAGCTGTGGGGGTGTTTTCTGCCTCTGCTGTGATAGTTCACAGACCAGATGCCCACTTTGGCACTGACACACACACACACATACAAACACACAGACAGACACACCAACACACTCACCGGGACACACACAGACACATAAACGTACACACCAACACACACTACGACACACACACAGACACACTCACCAACACACTCACCGGGACACACACAGACACACACACAGAGACACGCACACTGACACACATACCAACATACACACCAACACACTCTACGAAACACACCCACAGACGCACACCAACCCAAAGACACACACACCGACAAACTACCACACACACACCGACACATACGGATACACAAACTGACACACAGACACACACCAGGACACACACAGACACACACACACCGATACAAACAAATAAAAAGCTTCCTCCAGAGGTCGGAAACTCAGCCATCCTGAAACGTATTGAGAAAAAGCTGCAGTTTAAGCCTTTAAAATATTCATTTTGCCCCTCCAGCTACTGAAATGCAGCCTTTTGAAGTCAGAATCAGACCCAATTTCACCTTTTCATGACAAAATCAAGGAAAATAACAGATCAGAAAATCAAACTGTCCACTTACGGAGGTGTTATGGAGCCTCATCGGGTCGGACCCGGAGATGCTTTCTCTCTCTCTCTGCTCCACGCAGACGACAACCAGCTCTAACGTCAGATTTTAGCTATTTTAGTTGTGATGTCAACTTTAGTTGTTTCTCATTTTGCAGCAGTTTCAGCCCAATGTGCTTTTAAAGTACTTGGAGTATCTGTTTTTTGTAAAAGAGCCATTTAAATGAAGCCAGACTGTACTGGGTTGATTTAATATGATTTTAATAAATACCTCTGGAGATTTGAAATGTTTTTAATATGATAAACACATGGATACTGATCATATGCATTTTTAATGTTAACAAAAAATCAGATAAATGTCAAAATATCAATCTAATTCTGTCAATTACATAGTTGCATTAGGTGGATATAAATTTACAAACCTTTTTTTAGTTGTTAAAGGGATTCTCCTCCAGTACATCAAAACGATACAACACTCACAGCCAATTTAGTCCTCATTCTTTTGATAACAAAACATTTATTTAGTAGCCAAAGAAACACTAGAATCTGAGCTGAAAGCTCACAAAAAGCAAATCAAATAACAAATAATGAAAGAAAAAGTAAAAATGTCAATTTTTTATTAGTTTTTTTCATTTAACAGAATTATTCATTTGAAATCCATTGTTTTTTCATTATTAATTTAAAAGTTATTGATTATTATCTTAATTAATTTGAGTTATTAATAATAAAAAAAACAACCAAATCCACCCTATTTTCTGTCACATCCTCTGAGCTGCTGCTGTTTGTGATGAAATAGAAACCTTCTTTCATTTTCTTCTTTGTTACAGAGCAAATATAAGTCCGCCTTCGGGCGTAGCGTCTATTTGTCCGAACAGATCGGGATGGATGTGCAGACGGTTTTTTTTTTTACCTGCACAGACTTATGGGTCGGCTGCACCGGAGCCGTCCACCTGTGGGCCGGTCATCCATCAGCGGGAGGCCGGGGGCAGACCTCCACGTCCCCTCGGACGCCTCAAAAACAAACCAGGAAGTACTTGAAATTAATTCATCCAGGTCCTGGGAGTCTAAAAAAAATCTTAATTAAGATATTTTTGGTCTGTTATTAGTTCTCTGAATGTTTTCCCTGTCAGGTTAGGCAGCTTGGGGAGGAATTAGCGGGAATCTATAAAAATCTGTCAGTCAATAAATATAAAAAAAGGTTAAAAAAAAAGGTTGGTGGTGCAACCTTGAGCTGCCTCAGACTCAGAGTGATGAGCGTCTTCCTGCCTCTGGTTTTTTTGGCCTCCCAGGGAACCAGCAGAGGACGAGCAAAGGCTTTATTGGAATCACTAAACTGATTACCAACGAGAGCTAGAAAAGGAAGAGAAAAAAAAGGGCAAACAATGGAAACGCGCGGGACCAGACGAGCCACACGAGACAACAACAGACAACACGCAAACAAACGTCTGCCAACAAAGAGACGAAACCCCGGAGAGGGTGGGACCAGATGGGGATAACCAGGAGGGACTCAGGAATCAGAAAACTGAGCTTCAGGATCCCAACGCAGAGACACACAACTGGCCGGAGTTCATCTGAGCTCTTCTGAGTAAACGTTCCTGGACTCAGACCTGGTCCAGAGAAAATGGACGGATCAGGATCTGGGCAACGTGTTTTCTGGCTCCAGTTATGAGACGAGCAGCAAACGAGGCCCCGAACTGACAAAAAGAGCTCCAGCTCATCCACAAATTTGGGAATCTGTGAAGGTTCGGCTTCACTTTGGCCCCGATTTACATCATTCAGAGAGTTCAGGTCCAACCAGGGAGCTTTTTCTATACCCAACATGTCTATGCTCACTGTCAAGGACCGTTTAAATAGAGTATTAATTATTTTGTGTTGTGGAATTTTGCAGAAAATAGGTAAATGTATTTACTAACTAAATTATTTA